TAATCAGGAGTTACTGGTGCCAACCTGTACCTGGCTCTTCACCCTCTTGCCAACAACTGCAGACACTCACCTAGTCTTGGCTTGAAGTTTTCCAATGAGGGGAAAGCCCACTATTTCCTAAAGTCATCCAAGCCTCCCATAATTAGGATGCTAATTGTTAGAAATTTCCACTTAACCCTGATTGCCTTGCAAAAGAAAAGAAAAAAAAAAAGAAATTTCTTCTTACAGTAAGCCTAAATCTGCCTCCCTGTAGCTTCTGCTCACCGCCCCTACAGCTCCTCTCTGAGGCTAAGCAAAGACAGTCTGAATCCTCTTCCACACGATCATCATACCTGCCTTCTTATCTCTCTTTCCTAGGCAGACGATTCAAAAAGATCCTAATCCCATGACTATTTTGTACTGTGCTTTAAAAAAAAAAAAGATCATTTAACCACATGATATGTTTTTTCACAAAAATAAATAAAATTGTTACTTAGAAAAATTCAACTTTTGGTGTATTTTTTTTGGGAAATGTATTAGTGTCTAAAGCATTTCTCCCCAGGTGTAAGAAATAGAGTCAGGATTTCTTTGGGTTCAATCTAAAAAGATTTCTGGGAGTGATCTGTTGATTCAACCCTCCAAACAAGAATACAATGAAACCTTCTTTGGAAATTATTGTATCCTAAGATCATATGTCCTAAATGCTGAATTTTCTGAGCACTAATTTCATACTTATCAAAGTAACACATTTTAAGAGTCTGCAACTATCAACAGTATATAATACACCCAACTGGCAGAAGTATTTCTATCTTAATCTTATTACTATTTTTTTATGTGGAAAGGATCTAGCTAGTTGAGAACTTTGTTGGTTTTTTTTTTTTACTACGTATTAGAAATTGAGGGAAAAAAAGTTACTTTGAAAAAATGAATGAATATGTTTATATTCAACCTTAAAATGAAAGAAGCCATTTAATCAGTGGAAGGAAGAGAACACTATCTCTCATGACAATTTTGAAATTCCACAAGGCCATGGCAGGTGACTCTAGCAATTGCTTTCTGCAGTGGAAAGGATCACAGGGGCACAGATTCTGAGCTGGAAGGGATCTTAGAGGTCATCTCAGCCAAGCTCCTCATTCTATAGATGAGGAAACTGGGGTCCATAGAGATTATGTGATTTGTCCAAGGTCATACAGATAGCAAGAGACAGACAGATGCTGGTCATGGACAAATCTATGTCACCTGACTCCATGTTCAGCACCTTATCCACTGCTGGATTTGGAGCCAGGGGACTTCCATTTCTACCATTTCTCACAAAATCATTGACCTTGCCCAATCAAGATGACCTTGCCCAGTATATATTCTTCCTCTACTTTAATAGGAAAGTCATCTTGGGGCAGTGGAGAGAATCCCAGGTTTGGATCCAGAGGATCTGGATCTTCCCCTTACAGTTGTATGAGCAAGTCACATAACTTCTCTAGGCCTCAATGTACTCATCTATAAAATGAAAGAATTTGAGAGGATAACCGCTAATGCCCTATCCAACTCAAAACCTTTGATCCAATGATGTCTGATATATTATTACCTTGCTCTGCTCAGACAATTCTACTAATTTAGAGCTGTCTGCTTCCCAAGCTGGCCTGATGATCCCAATCACTTCCACTCAATGCTATCCTTCAGGGGAACAGGAAGTTCAATGCCCCTTCCATAGAAGAGACCTAAGCATTTGAAGATAGCTATCAAAGACTTATCAAGTCTTCTCCATACTAAAAATATAATAAGGGAAAGGTAGGTTCTCATAAGTAATTTTCCATAGCCAAACACACCTTTATGTTCACTCAAATGGCTGAGAGGCTTTTGGATAATACACAAGGTCTTACAACGTTTACTGATTCCAAGAAAGCATTTGACTTACTCAAAAAGCAACTTTGAAGGTTTCCTTAGAAATAGTATCTCTGTTATTATTTCAAAATTATTCAAGACTATGGCAGGTGGCTATAGAGACTGCTTTCTTCAATCACTGACTGAATATTTAAATCGATTGAATTATTGAACAAGATGTGTTCATGAGTGCCACAGAAGGTGAATTACCAAAGTTCCGATTAAAAGATTTTTGACTAGCAAGTTCTTCACCAAATTCTCCTACAGGGAGCTCTGAACTACTATAAAGTCTCCTTGGTAATTCACAATAATGCAAAAGAGATAACTATCTAAATTGGGAAAGCAAGCTGGATTAAAAAGTGCATATGCCCAGATTATTACATACAGCTAGCTGGATAGTTTCTGGAATCAGTCCATCAATATGTGTCACATTGGACAAGTGCCACGAAGCTGAAACAAAGTGGGTCTGAAGATGAGAAGAGGCAGCATTCCATTTGGGATATTGCTCAGTGGTCACACATCCTTCAGTACTGAAAAGCCCTATCACTTTGACAGCAACATGGAAAAATACACGGTGGATATAAGTAGCATGTTACAGATAACTTACATGTAACACATGACATAAAACACAATTCTAGAGTTTAGATTTGGGAGTCTGGGCACAGATAGAATGAGAGAGATGATAAGAAAAACGAAACCAGAAGCAAGGCTTCAGTGTCTGCCATCTTCTCCTCAGAGAATTTACCTGAAAGTTTGAGATGAGGTGAAGGCATTTCTCTGCTTCTTTTCACATGTGGTGCTCCAAGCTGTCTAGTTGTTACCTTTCACTCTCATTTTGTGATCAAGTTTCTTATTTTACCTAGTTTCTTACATGCAGACCATCCTTAGTAAATATCCTGCAGACTACTTATTTTCACCAAGCCTGTTTCTATTTGCTCTCTTGGTCATCTGCCATTTTACATCTTCTGAGATCATGGTGCTCCATGATTCACCATCACATTGGAAAATTACTGATGCTAAAAAAAAAATGGACTTTTGCATCGAGATGCATCTAGAGATCAGTAAAAGCACAGCATCATTTTCCAAATGTGATCTGGAGCAATTTCTTCTTTCTATTCAATTCTGGACCTAGCTTATTAACTATCTGAAGAACCAGTCCAAGAAGTACACACTGATGGGCTAGTAGCCTTCCTGTCCATATGTTATAATCTGGGAAATCTGTATTTGCATCCACTGTGCTTAGGCTCATCTCTTTTAAATGACAGCAATTCATTGGGGAACTTTTTTTTAACAACTTCCTTAGTGATTAAAACAACAACAACAACAATTCTTCTATATAAATTCTATCCAGGGTACCCTCTGTAAGTACCTGAGGATAGCTCCTTATTTTATGTCTCAATGTTGGGTTACCTTTCATCAAAGATATCTGTTGTGCTCCTAGTTGACACATCACTTAGTTTTGCAAGAACACTGAGTGTTTGCTGGCTGAGGCAACTGCTTTTTATTAATTCAATTTCTCTAAAAAAAGGTGATAGAGTCATTGGTTCATTTCCCTCATTTTTTTTTTTTTGGACTTGACTGCTTACTATAACCAATCATGTTGGAGCCTGCTACAATCACATGTCGTATCTTCTTGCTTTTCTCCTTTCTCCTAATCTGGTATCGACCTTGACCTTTACTCTAATCAAGTCATGGTATGACTACACATTTCTGATTCTGAAATGATTATTATGTTGGTAACTACTCAATTTCTGTCTGTTAAAATATAGACAAATTCATTCTTTTTGATGTTTGGTGCTTGCCAAGTCCAGTGCTTTCTGAATCTCTTCTTTAAGAAAATATTTATCCTACACAGATGAGCTTTCTGAACAGTCAATAAGCCTTTGACCTCTTTCCTTTCTGGATCCAAAAATACATATTTTTCAGCATTGTTTTTACTGTCTTCCCTTGTGCCCACCTTCACCTTGAAGCCACCAAGTATCAAGTTCTATGTCTATAGGATTCAGAAAGGGACATTAGAGTTCACCTATATGTCAGGAGATTTGGGTTCAAATCCTGACTTGGTTACTTAGTACCTATGTGATCTTGAGCAAATCAGGTAATACTATGAGCAAGAAGATAGCGCTATGTCTTCTAACGTCCCTTCCAATTCTAAATTTACGGTCTTATCGGTTTCTCCATAGGATGTATTGATATCTCCTACAACAAATGCTGGCCCACAAGTGGAGGTCTCACCACCGTGGTCCTTGTTTATGATAGTCATGATCATGAATATCATGATCACGGCAAGGTGAGATGACAAAAAGTGCCATGAAATGACATTCTTGTTGCCTCTAGATGCAAGTTAAAAACCACTCCAGCAAGTTTCTCTCCGACCTCCCACTTCTTCGAAAAGAATGTATAAGCTGCCATCCTTCCCTTGAGCTGCTACTTCTTTATGGCTTCTGGTTTAATTGCTGGCAAGAAAATTGCTACTTAGATGGGTTTTGCTAGTCCAGGAACATGAGGACAAATATTACACATTATGATGACCAAAAGTTAAATTAACGTTGGTTAAAACAAAACAAAACAAAACCCTAACAGGGCTCCTTGGCCTGGCAGAAGTACAAGGGGGTTGTGCTCGACTGGGAACTGTTTTGTATTTTCATCTTTTTTATAGATTATTGCAGCCAAAGACCATTCAATTCTCAGATGCCAGAATTCTGTGAGCACCTTAGCCCATAACACTTCTATCTATGTGATAACTGACAGAGCTTGAGAAATGAGGGTTACCTCCATATCATTATGAGGCATCAGAGCTGGATGTTTGTGGAAGAAATCTTGGGCTCCTTTTATTGAGCAGAAAAAATCCTGGTTAATGAATGGAGTTCATCCCCCACCCCATTTTGTCTTTTCCTAGCTGAAACAGCTAAAAAAAACATGGAGAGATCATAAAACATTTATTGCCTTACAGCGGACTAAACACAATACTAGAATTAGTTGGCTGATGGGGGTGGAAATCATTACATTTCCATGTGGATGAAATTTTTTTCTCAATGTTATGAAAAATATTGAGAGATTTTCCTTTAAAGTAAATCTGAGTTAACATTTTTCTTGCTACTCACATGGATCAGAAACTAATAAATAATGTAGAGGGAACTCACCTTTGGGAAGTGCAGTTAAAAGAGTAGCATCGATATCCCTTCTGTGGTTGGCAAGCTGTTCCTTTTCTTCAAGTGAAAATTCTCTCTGAAAACTAAAAATTATCCAGTTAATCAAAGCCTAAGAAAATTCTGAAAACCAAGATATTTGTGACAAAATGTCAAAAATTGTCTCTAGTGGGTATCAACAAAAGCAACTAAGGCCAAGGGGACACTGGACAAAGATTTTGCAGGACCTCCTTCTATGGGGCCGTTTAACCAGGGTCACTTTAAGTCCCTTAACCTCCACGGGCTTCAGTTTCCTCGTAAACAAAATGAGCAAGTTGGACTAGTGGGTAACAATGCCCTTTGATAATAAGATCAGCTTTTCTAGCACCCAGCATTATAACCAGATGGAAAAGATAGTGAAATAGGAGTATAAGAGGTAAGAAGAATAGACAAATGGAATCCTGTGTAGTACTTAATCATAAAATAAGATTCACTTTTCATTCAGAAAACACTGACTAAACATCCACTCTGTGGGAGGCACTGGGCCAGACCTGGAAAAACAAAACAAAGCAGAAAACAACCCCTGAATGGAGCTGACATTTTGTTGGAGATGGGTTGGTGAGGGGTATATGACCTTTAAAGATACAAGCAAATAGAGAAGATATGAGGAGGGAGAAAGCACTAATAGCTAAGGGGATAAGGCAAGGCTTCACCTAAGGTGAGCCCCGCAGGGAGCTAAGAACTGGAGGTGAGGAGGAAATGTGTTCAGAGGATCATATATCGAGAGATGGAAGGGACCTCAAAGGTCTTTTGCTACACCTAAGGCCCAGGGAGGTGAAGGGACTGACCTAAAGCCCCAGAGACAGCCAGTATCGCAGCTCTTATGACCATAAGTTTAATAGAATTTTCTACTACAACCTGTGGTACATTTGAGGAATACAGGACAGGTGGAAGATGAGTGTTGAATTTAGGGAACTGTAAGAGGTCCAGTTTTGACTGGAATAACAGATACCCAAAGAGGTGTAAAATGAAATAAATACGGGTAGGTAAAGGGAAGTCATTTGGTGACAGTCTTTAAATATCAAGCATATTATCTGAGAGACATGAGGGAAATACCGGATTTTTGGGCATGGGAAAGATATGAGCCTGAAAACATTTCCATGTAAAATTCTCTTTATATGTTCTACTTTTTTGGTCTTGAATCTAGCTTGGATGCAGAATACTTCTCAAAGGCCAAGGAAGTCTAAGTATAGTCTAAAATTTCTTCGGAGCAAGATATTATAACAATCAAAATGTAAATCAAAAAGACTTCTCCATATTTCAAAATAATTAGGCAATGAAATTATCTATAGCAAAGTTATCAAAACATGAGGGCCCCTATGACACTCTCAAGTGTTCCCCAAGCCAGCTTAAAATGTAATTGGGAAATAGTTAATAAAATCAAAATACAATAAAACATCGATAATATGAATATGCAGTTTTCTAAGTCAATCTGTAGTGTGCAGAATCCTTTTGTAGGGTTTAGCTGTCTTCACTTCTATTTGAATTTGATCTATGGAATTTTTTCTGATCTACTGCATTTTTTTCTTCCCTAAGCACATTGTTCAGGCTAGGATACTAAAAACCTGATCCTTATATTTAGAAAAAAAGGGCTTAGTTCTTGCCTGTAGAAAAGGTAAAACTCGTGGTCATAACTAATGATTTTTAAAGTGTCATGTAAGTGTAGTTAATTACTGACAATGAGAATGAATTATTATTAATTATTGTGCTTTATGGAGGAAGCATCAAAGATTTCTGAAAGGGGAAAAGAGAGAATTACTTGGCACTGACTCCTCGCCATTAAAAAGAAAAGCAACAAAACAATAGCAGCCTTTTCCAAAGGTTCTTTTTAGATGCCTGACAGAACAAAAGGGTTTTTTTTTAAAAGGAAAAAATGAAGAAAAGTGTATAATTGGTGGGACCAGGGGCACTGTAGCAATAATTGCATTTATCACATACGTAAAACGTAGAGTTGAGATAAGCAACAGAAAGTTATCTGGAGGGAAGCTTTCTATCTGACTTGATGGAACAATAAGACCCCCATCAGGGAACGTTTTTTGGTATTAAAATGAAATTCTTCCATTCCTCAAATGTTGTGCTTCCCCCATCATTCATCTTCATGGTGCATGTGCACTCATCTCAGTGTGCCAACTGCTCACCCACAAAAGCCGTTTTCAAAACTGAATGTCTGCACTTCCTTGTCTGCCCCCTCCCTTCCCTCTCTGCTAATTTAAAGGACCACTGGAGACAGCGAGCACCTCGACTCCAAATCGGACAATCTGCTGAATCTTTCCACGGCAATATTTACTGGTCCACTCCATCGCCATTCTGACATTTCACCACTTCCAGTACATTTATTCCTGGAAAACGTATCAATGCTCTTCACAAGTCATATACCTAAAGTATATCACATTAGTACTGGAGCTAAATATAGGGCACTGATCTGTAAAGGTAAAACAGAAATGAATTTTAACCCAAAACAAAGTGCCCAGGATTTAGAGCTAAAAAGACACTTTGAAGATGATCTAAACGGAATTCTTTCATTTTGCAGATAAGGAAGTCAAAGTGCAGAGAGGGAAGTAATTTGGACAGAACCACAGACCCAGAATTCAAACCCAGGTCCTCTGTTCTTTCTCTTATATTGACTAGGAAAACCCCTCATCATCCTGAATGTATTCAACTGTAACTTCATTCAACACTTTCGTCTAAACACTTACACTTGTTCACTGTCTAGTTTTACACTGCTGGTTGGATTAAAGTAGCCAAAGGCAAACAGTTCAATAATCACCAATTTCAACAATGCAACAAATATTTATTTGTTAGGCAAATTACTATATACAGGTAGTGTGGAAAGTCAAATGTTTCACTGGATCTTTAATTTCATTGCTGTAGGTCACTGTTCCAACTGTGGAAAGAGAAATGAAACTATCCCTGCCTTTAATTCAATAAAGGTATCTCCTTATTTCTCTACAAATGATTCTCAAATGGATATGTGTTTGCATATGCATACTTATAAATGTGTGTATGTATGTACATAATGTACGCATAGATGCCTGGAGAAGGAGGCACAAGAACTTAATGGAAGAGTAGGATTTTAAAAGGCAGAAATGAAGATGATGTACATTTCAGGGACAAAGGACTTCTTATCCAAATGCAGAGGCATGAGATGGCATATTCCCTTAGGAGGAAAACAATTAGTTCAGTTTGGTTGGAAACTATTGGGTATGAAGTGGGAAGGGAGGTGGTAGAGATTTGAGCTAGGTTATGTAAGTCACTTAATTCTAGACTAACGAATTTGTACTTCATCTTAGAGTGAGCAGGGAGACAATGAGGCTTCTTGAGTAGAAGAGTGACGTGGTGAAACCCCTGCCTTACGAAGATGATTTTAGCAGCCGTATGGAAGATGGAGCAGAGAGGGTGGAAGTCAATTGGGAGTCTATTATTCCAGTTCAGGCAAGAAATAACAAGGACCTGAACAAGAGGGTGGGCTATCCAAATGGAGGGAAGGAGTAAAATACGAATGATGTTGTAGAGGTGGAATCACAAGACTTGGCAACTAATTGAATGTGGTGCAGGTAGGGGAGTGTGGGTGGAGGAAAAAGTCAAGTATGAATCTGAAGTTATGATCCCAGGTGACTGAGAGGATGGTGCTACCCTCAATAGAGATAAAAAAAAAATGGGGAAGAACTCCAAGGACTTGAGTGGAGATTTCAAATTCCTCTGGGTTTAAGGTGAGGTGACATGTTGAGTTTGAGTATGAGGTGCTGATCTAGGCAGAGACGTCCAGCAGGTAGCTGGATACAGGGGACGAGAATTCATGAGAGATTAGGATTGGATATATACATCTATGTACACACTATGTACATACATACACACATCTATAAGTATGCATATGCAAACACATATATCCATTTGAGAATCATTTGCAGAGAAATAATGAAATACCTATATCCATGGGAATAGATGAGATCACCAAGAGAGGACATAGAGATAAGGGGGCTGAGGAAAGGGTTCCACGTGGGGGGACTAGAAAATAGTCTAAGGACTAGAAAACAGATGATCCAGCAGAGGAGACTGGAGAGTGGTCAGATATGTAGGAGTGAACAATGTCTCAGAAGTCAAAGGAAAAAAGATTGTCTAAGAGAAATGAACAGCATTAAAAGTTGTAGAAAAGTCAACGTGGGGGAAAAGGCCAACATATTTAGCAATGAAGAGATCTCTGTTAACATTTCAGACCCCAGTTAAAAAGGCTGGTGAGGAGTTTGACTTCAAGGGGCTAGGAAGTGTTAAGGAAGTAGGGGCAGCAAAGGTGACTCTTTCTAGTTGATCAAAAAATAGAGAGACGGATAAAGAAGGAGAGAGATAGACAGGGACAGAGAGAAGACAAGGAGGATAATAGCTTAAAGCAATCATGGCAAGGTCAAGTGAAGGAAACATCTGTATATGAAGTAGAGGAAGAGGAAGTTGCTTGAGAAAAATTAAAGGTGAAAGAGAAAGGGGAATGGTTGATTCCCCTCTCAAAGCATAAATCCAAACACTGAAGGAGAAATCATTCAAACATAACTCAGGTCATTTGAAATATTGGTAACTCTGTATGACTCTTTTGTTCTTCAGCATCTCTCCCTTCTGTCTCTGAGTAACCAGTCTGCTTCAGTGATGAGGAATTTTTTAAAAATACATGTCCCATTAACCTACTTACATGCTCAGCAAAAGCAACAGGGGGCGATTTGATTCAAGTGCCAGCAGCAAAAATATTCTGCTATTATCCTGATTTGAAGGCTAGGGTCATTATTATGATTATAAGAAATATTAACCATGCACGTAGTACACTGAGCTGCCTACAGCCTGATCTCTCTTGTCTTGGACCTTGTGTATTAAGGGGACTAGGGAGATTATTTTACATTACCTTCCTTTTTTACCTTCTCTATGTAGAAGTGAAATACATTTTATAGTCAACTTTGTCCTTGGGGTACAAATGACTATTTCTCCAGCCCATTTTACACTCAATACCACGCAAAGGAAGCAGTAATCTTATCACATCCAGATAAATTCATATATAATGACTTTTGAAGAGTAACTTGTCCTTTTCTTCCTCAAAGCCTTTGCTCTCCTCCTCTCATTCTTTTCTCTCTTGTGGAAACTGACTTGATTTTGCAGAGCATGGTTACAGAATCTTTCCTCTTTTCCCTCTCACTATTACCATTTTTGGTAGGCAGTCACAAGTCAGGTTTCCTAGAATTATCTTGGTTTCTCCAGAGATTTGGTTCTGGTTCAGGTTCAATGACCTGGTAAACCACAAGAGAACCCAATGGACTAAATCATGCCATCTTACCTGCAGCCATCTTCCCTAAAGAGCAGGAAAGGGAACTTGCTTAAGATCCAGCTGGGTCGTATAACCTACAGTAGTTCTACCATGCTGTTTTGTTTTGGTCTTGCTTCTCTTGTACTGAGAGAGTGGACATGGGGCATCAATCACTGATCCTTGCAATACAAACAGTATTTTTACTCTGCTTCTGTCACAATTAGAACTGCACTTAGCCATCTGGGAATGAGTGTTAGGCCCCCTTGTTTTCATACTGGTCAAGCTCACAGTGCAGAATTATGGACAAACTCTCATGTGGTTTTGTCTCGGTTCATGCTTAGTTGAGAAACAGGGCAGAGAACTTTGCCAGCAATATCCCCAAACAGAGTAACTAACAGAAATCTATTTAAGGTCACCATCTATGCTGTTCTGTTTTATTTTAACTTGTTAATACTTTAGCCTTGTGTCCACCTTGGGATGGAGATGCTCTATGATCTTTTTCTCTTGTGTTATGTGGCTAATTATATGGTGGAATGACTGATTCTCCAACTTCAAGACAACAGTTCTGAGGCAGACCAGACCTATTCCCCAGACTCAACAACCAAGGAAGAGAACACCCCAAAGGGAAGCATTTCCTGACTTAGCTATCTTTCTTGGCAGGAACATCATTTAAAAACACCATCTTAAAGCAGCAATTAGAATTTTAAGAACTCCAAGGACTTGAGTGGAGATTTCAAATTCCTCTGGAATGGCATTGTCTACTCTTATTTTTATAGATAAGGGACTCTGGAGCGCAGAAAGGAGAAGTAGCTCCTCTCCCAAGCCAGAGAGCACCACTTCATTCTCAACGCTCATATTGCCAAAGCTTTGTCTCCTACATTTCAAAGGTTTCTATGAAGCTTAACATTAAACAAGTTAAGTTTCCTTAAAGCATTTTGGTAATTTTACCTCGATACTCTTCTTTGATGTGGTAGCCGGAAGAGGTTTGTTTTTTTCTTGTTGAAATCTGAAGGTAAAGAAATAAGATGATGTTGAAATGGCAACAGAACAGGAAGTGAAGAGAAAATAGGTTAGCTTTGTCATTTCATTGTGGAACAACAATCAAAAAACAAGTCAACCTCCTTATCCAAACATTAAACTATTCACTGTCCAAAGAAGCTATTTCTGTAGAGACCAGAAAAGTAATAAAAAGTCATATTGATATAATTTCCAGTTTACAAAGCACTTTCCAGGCATCAAAGGTATTATCATCCTCATTTTATAGATTAAGAAACTGAAGATTAACAGCAATATTCCTGTAAACAAAAAGACCACCCCTCACCAAGCCTTTCAAACAGAGTCAAAATAAGAACACTCCCAAGAATCATAGATAGAAGATGAGGGCTTTTCCAGAAGTCAATTTTATCCAAACATTTAATATTACTGCGATTTTGAGACAAGACAACTTGACATTTGTTCTGGAATCAGCCAGCATTTCCCACCAATACAATGACAAGTTAGTCAAGCCCTTGCAGAAATTTTAGTCCAACTTCTCTATTTAAAGGGAAGAAAATGGAGCAATAAGAACAATGGTCTAATATAGCTTCTTTTCTTTTTTTTTTTTTGTTTTGGAGAGGCACTTGGGGGTTAAGTGACTTGCCCAGGGTCACACAGCTAGTGTCAAGTGTCTGAGGCTGGATTTGAACTCAGATTTGAACTCAGGTCCTCCTGACTCTAGGGCTGGGGCTCTATCCACTGTGCCACCACTGCCCTTCTAATGTAGTTTTAAACTAATGCCAACTTACACTTAGAAATGACCAAACAAACTTTGGTAAGGATAGGTCAGGAACTCTGAAGCCCCTCATCTGCTGGGAAATCCTGTTCCTATTATCTCTGCTACAGTTTCTTTTGCAATAAGACATCTGTAGTCTCCCCCCCCCGCTTTTCTTTTTTAAACTAAACCTTAATCATAAAAGTTCATCCTATTAACCAACTACTTATTTTTGAAGACCAGATATACATTATGTAAGAGCAGCTGGTAATAATTCTGCACAGAAGAAACACATATATAGAATAAATTGGTTAATAAAAACCAGGCGTGGGCAAAATTTATAACCCTTCTAATGGTATGTAGCCCATTTTACAGCTTTTGGCACGGTGATCATTTGTCCCCCCAGAAAACCACAAGTAAACCACTTATAGAAACTTTATCCTCCTGGAGATGAGCCCTCACTACCTAAGATTTGGGGGCAAGGGGCCTGATGGGGAAAGAGGTACAAGATGAAGTGAATGTTGACACTTCATTGCCCATCATAATAGATACTTAAGCCTACTGTTTGTAAACTTGTCAATGAAGAGGGAAACAAAATTGGAAAAACAGTTCCAATGAAAAGTTCTAAGCTTTTTTTCTTCTCTTCTTTTGCCTTGTGTCTAACAGACAGTAATATTTTGGCTGTGGCTGGCTTGGGATTGTTTTTTAGCTGTTTTGTCTGTGCCTTGTACAAGTCAACTGAGACTCTCAGCACAAAATGTTACCAAGTACAGTCTAAATGCACCAATGGAACCAGACAGATGCCTGTCACTTCCATGCTCAAGTTCTGCTAAGGGTCATTTTTGATAAGTGATGTCTGAAAGCCCAGTGATTTCATTTCATTTTTGTTCAGGCAGTGAACTGAGTATTTGGTATATTTCAGTAATTAAATTGAAAGCATACACTCTCCCGTAAACTGAAAAAGAAGCCACTGAAAATGCAAACCCCTGCTCCAAACTGTCTCACGGGATGATTTAATCAAAACAAACAGCTCAGACATTGGAGAGTTTAGTAAAGAGCATTGGGTTGACAAAATCATCCACTACCCAGCTGATTCTCAACTTGATCAGAAGTTTAATTATTCAGGAGACTGCAACTGTCCTTGCTGAAAGCTTTTAGGTGGTAGAAATACTTCTAATTGTTGAGCAGGAAAGAAAAATTCTAAAATGCTCATCCCCCCAACCCCCAAATCATGCTTTAAATTTAATGCTTTTCTAAAATAAACTAATTAAAGAACTTGGATTTTTTTCAAGTATCCTCTGAGAAAAATATAAGACTACATAGCTTACTGGATACTAATAACTAGCATTTCTAGGAGAAAGTGCCCTCCTAAGAGCCGTAGCAACAGAGCATTCAGGAAATTAGTGAAAGAAATGAGTAACAGCTTTCTGGAGAACCTCTGGCCGCTTACCTTGCTCCTCAGAGTACTCAAGCGCTTCCACAAAGCTGGAAATCCAAGGATTTCTGAACATGGTCGCACAAACAAAGGATTCGCCTAACAGAAATTCCTCCAGCAGCTAATTCTTAACCAGCCACAGCCCTAGGCCCGTCTAAGCAAAATCGTGTTGAGATTTTTCATAGCCCAGGACCAGTGCTGTCAGGCACTCGCGTCCTGGGGAGTAGAATAAATGCACAGCAGCGGGCTGCAGGCTGCAACAGCTCAAACCAGTAATCAGATTACAAGGAGAAATTAGGCACATGAATACTAAACCAGACTGGATAACAGTGATTGGGAGATTTATAATATTACCACTTCAAAGTGGAGGCCAAATGACAACACAAGTTTCTGGCCAAGTGGACGATGCAGGGAACGACTGAAGGCTAACCATCTTCGCAGGCACTGAAAAGCAGTCCCCAGGCTCTCTCCCCAAAAATCACAAAGACTGCCGGGAGAATGGGGGAGAAGCAAAAGCAAAACCATTCCCAGGCTCTTAACTAATATCAGCAAATGAAGCATTTCACCTAATAAGACAGCCAAGAAGAACACTGAAAACTCAAGATTTATGGGCAACATATGAGTGAAATTGTGGGGAAAAGAAAAGACAGATACAACCGCAAGCCCAAAAAATATTAATTTGCGACAGAAGGTATTCAGTAAGTTTCCTGTTACACTTGTCCTTTGAACCGCCCCATTTGTTTTGAGCTCCAGTTCATTTAAAGAACAAATATAGCAACACTACTTTACCACACGGAGAAGGTGAAGACCATCACAGATGCTAAGAGCTGGAAGGGCCTCCGAGGGCATCCAGGAAAAACACCGAGATTTTGCAGATGAAGATGCTGAGGGCAAGAGAGACTAAAACGCCCTGCCCATCATCAGCCCTCCATGGCAGAATTAGAGCTCTAGTCTCAGTTTCCCTGAGTCTGATGCCAGTCCACTTTTTACTGGATCCCTGTGCTACTATCCATGCTTAGACCCTAAGCAGTTATGCCATAAGAATTGATTCTACCTAATTTAAACTTAAGGCTTATAACCTCAGCAGGAGGCAGCTAAGGTGGGGCAGTGAATTCAGCATTAAACCTGGAGTCCAGAAGACTGGAGTTCAAATCCAGCCTCAGGCACTTACTAGCTCTGTGACCCTGGGCAAGTCACTTAACCTCTGTTTGCCTCAGTTTCCTCATATTAATAGCACCTACCTATTATTAATACCTACCTATACCAGAGTTAAGAGGATAAAAGGACAAATTTGTAAAGCACGTGGCTAATCTTAAAGTACTAAATAAATGCTAGTTATTGTTATTATCCGTAATGGGCAGCAGGTCTTAAATAGGAATTGTGTGATTCTTTCATTGCTATTCATTTGGGGCAATACTATCAGCTAGCTCTTCATTTCAACTTTGCATTCCTTCTACTCTAGTCTCCCAGTCTTTCTCATTTCCTCCTAGTGGGCTATTCCAAACCCTTACCCCTCAATGTAGTAAACAGGATAGCCCAAGACAGCCTCCTACTTCAAAAAGAAGGGGCCATTAAAGAGGAAGTCCTCAACTAACCTCCCCCATGCCTCAAAACTTCTCCCCACAACCTACTCTTGCTTTACCTCTGGTCATAGGAAAAGAGGCATCTCTCTGCTCTCTAATAAGCTAATCCTTTTGCAGGCATTCTTGAATTTACTCTCATCCACCTTTCCCAGGCTCCAACTCCAGTAATTATCTCCCCAACCTCCACTCTTCCACTCTCCACCCCCATGCATGGTTAATCCCTCTTCCCTGGAATTCTTTCTCTCCTCATTTCTGCCTCCTTGGATGCCTAGACTTCCCATTTCTACAAGAAGTCTTTCCTGATTTCCCCTTAAAGTTAATGCCTACTCTTTATTGATTACCTCCAACTTATTCTCTCTCTCAACATTTATATGATGTCTATCATGTGCCAGGCATGAGTGTGTGGGTGTGGGTGTGTAATCTATATAGTTATATCTTGTTTGCACATAATTGTTTACATGTTTTCTCCCCTTTAGAGAAATTTATTGTTGTTTGGTTTTGTGTTGTTTTGTCTTTCTTTGTATCCATGGTGATTACACTGCCTGGCATGTAGTAGGCACCTATATGCTTGTTGACTGACTAACTTCCATTTCATCCTCCTATTCAAAAATGTTCAAAAGCTTTGGATAAAAATAAGAATCATTGGCTTCCTATTTAAATCCTTACACAATCTGGCTCCTACCAACCTTTTCAATTTTGTACTGATCTGCTTCATACACTTTCCTTTATAGTCAAATTGATCAGTTAGCTGTTTCCTGAGCACGACACACTGTTTCCTACCCCTATGCCTTTGCATATGGAGCTCTTATGTCTGGTATGTATTCCTTCCTTCGTCACCTCATTATAGAATGCCTGGATTCCTCAAAAGCACAGCTTGCTAACTGTTACTCCACTTACTGATTCTCGCCAACTCCTCCAATTAATTGGTACTCTTCCTCTTGAAATGATTTTGCATCACTTATTTATTTTGTGTCAACTTATTTGAATATGTATTGTATCCTCCGAATTAAATATAAGTTCCTTCAAGGCAGAGATGGTTGTTTTGTTTTGTTTTCTTTTCTTTTCTCTCTAGTGCCCACCATTGGACCTGCCAAGTTCTTAACATTTGTGTGGTATAATTGGTTACAAACACTGGAGGATGTCCTTAATCCTATTTCTTCCTCTTTCTTATTTCTAAACCCTTGAAAAAGTTATCTACACCTCATAACTCCATTTCCTCACTCCTCATTCTCCTACCT